TGCTCTACTCACCCGAGGTACCAGAGGCTCAACAACAACTACAAGGCACTTCCCCCTTCAGAAATTCCAAACTTGTATGAATGAAGGAAATATAAAGGAAATATAAAGGCCAATTATTTCCAATTTAATCCTTGCTGCTTTTATCTTGTTTTCAGGACAGATCGATCTCGACGGCATATGCCTCACGACAAGCCCACCTGGCCCACCTGGGCTACAGTTCATTTCCCAGTGAGGCCGTTACACCGTTACAACAGGTGGATCAAAAGGCATTCGAAGTAGCGTAAGCTTAGAAGTTCCAATCAAATGATCCAGAAACACGTCACCACATACAAAACAGATTCGTCGAATGAACTGCTGCATTACTTGGTTAACAATCAGCTAAGCAGACTTGCGGAGATCAACTCGAACACCGAACCATGCAAGAATCAAATCATCACAAATCGGAACATCTAGTCTCACAAACAACAACGACATCCCGCACAAACTGGCGAAGCCGCGGCACGATCTCAATTCAAACGAAAAATCTCACGATTCAAACGAGAAAATTCTATTTACATACCCTAACCATCACCATTAGAGAGGCCGTCAGGCCATTACAAAAGATATCCACAGAATGGAATAAAGGGGAAAAGGCAGGAGGTAGGAACACAGCGAATAACAAGAAAGAAACTCTGTTTACGGATCCAAAACATCAACGACTTTGTGCACCACGTGCCCTATCTTGACCCCCGCGTCCACTATCTTGACCCCCGCGTCCCCTATCTTGGCCACCGCGTCCAATATCGTGGCAAAGGTAAGCAGCCCATCGCGCAAACGCACGCCCGCCCCCGGCGGCTGCTGGCTTGGCGGCGGTTGGTACGGCGCCCCCTCGCGCACGGTGAACGACTCGCCAAACCTGTACGAGAACTCCAGGACGCCCCTGGTCCCCCCGGACCGCGGCAGCCTCACGGCGTAGCTCATCGCCCTGGACTCCCCGTCGCCGCCCTGCTCGAGCAGCTCCCCGACGGGCACGCCGACCCAGCCGACGTCCTTGTGGCTTTTGCCGGTCCGCTCGGTCTTGATCTCCAGCTTGAGGGTGAGGAGGCCGGCGCGGGCCGCGGCCACGTCGACGGTGAAGGGGGCGGCGAGGGCGTGGTCCCAGCGGGGGCTCGTGCCACCGTCCCTGTGGGCGGGGGTGCGCTGCTCATTGTTGTGGCGCTCGTCGCCGGAGAGGGAGGCGACGACGTAGGGGTGCATCGTGAGGTAGTCTCTGACTTTCTCGAGGTCACTGGCCGAGTTCATCGTCACATACAGGCGCCTGCACTCCATGTCGTCGTCCGCCGCAGCCGCGAAGAGCCTTCACCTTCGAAAGATCAGACAACAGCAGCAACAACCGCCCACGACGGAGAAGATGAAGAAGATGAATGGCGCAGGACCCTCCAAGGCGGTCGAGGGCGCATTTACATACGAGTTTCGATGAAACGACGTCCGTTAAGAGTCTCTAACCGATCAATCTATACGCGTACAAGGACGAAGACTTCCTGAAAATTTTTCTTCCCTCGGGGAAAATCCCAGACACGAGGATTGGAATTTCCGGGACGCAGGGGTCCATCTTGCCGAAGACGTTGGCTTCGTTGATGAGGTCCTTGGCCGAGAGATCGCCGTCACCTTCTCCAGGGGCCCTGCTGCTGCACTCCATGTCTGCTGCCTTTCGAAGAAACCTCTTTGAAAGATCAACAACAACCACCACCGCCCACGACGAAACCGACGATTCTACAGAGAGATTTTCTTTCGTTTTTCTCTGAGCGGGAGAGATTTTCTTTTATATATTCGAGGTTTTGAAGAAACGACGTCGGACAGGACGTATACGCGTCGTGTACTTCAACTGGATCGATCTCTACGCGTACAAGACGAAGCTTCCCTTATTTTCTGCCCGCCAATTTCACGAGAAGAGATTAAGAAAAAAAAGAAAGAAAAGAAAATGAGGGTCACCGTCGGTTGTCTCGAAAGTTTCGGCGCTCGAATCGATACGCGGTTTAATATTTACACATTTCTAACCCTCGCGAAGGGAATTTTCTCGAATGAAAATAAGAATGACGGGAAAGCGCCGGCATTATACCTGGTTTCGGCACGTGGGTCGGCTCCGAGTTTTTCTCGAAACGCGCGAGGAGGATCGTTCGATGCTTTTCGCCTTCCTATTTTGAAATTGTTGGGCGCGGATGTCGAAAGTGTCGAGATCTTGTAATTTCCTTGAACAGGATATTCCATTTTTTTGTCGTCGATTAAATTGATTTTGACGCAAAAGTTAAAATGCGCGGAACATCGGAAAAAAAAGGAAAAAAAAAAAAAGAAAAGAAAAAGGAGCGATGGAAATGAAAAGAAGAAAGAGAGAAAGCGCGGTGGGGGGGTTGGATACGCGTACAAGAATAAAAGCGATCGTGACGTGCATTTATGACGTCACCTTCTTCTTCTTCTTCTTCTTTTTTATACTTCGGCACCCTTCTGGAAATTCCCAGAAAGGTCGATAATTCCTTTTTCTTTTTCCTTTAATTATCTGTGCTTGATCTCAAGTGAATTTCAACTCCAGTTTAAAAAAATTAAAATCAGTTTTTTAAATTGAATGGAGATAAATTAGTGGACTTATCCCAAATTTTTGAAACGCGTTATCCACGATCGGTTTCTTAATGGCCTGATTCCCCTGAAAAATCATCAGCTTTAGGTCCGATCTCGATTTTGTCTCGAGCTAATCTTAAATCTACCCATGTTTACAAAGATCGCTATTAGTTCCTTGAAAATTATCAATATCAGGGCGAGTTAGAGGTTCATTATCGGAACATAAGTCTTCATCGACACCCTCACTTTCGTAAGGGATAACAATAATCTCTTGACGTCGATAATTTTGAAGAAAGCAGTGTCGACTTTTGGACGTGCGGGGAGATTTGGGACTAGAGTGATAGTTCGAGATTTATTTTGAGACAAAAAAAAAGAGAGTTTGGGGCATAATTGGAATTTGACCTAAAAGTTGGGTTCTTTTTAGGGGATTAGCCCGTTTCTTAATCGGACGGCTAATAAAAAGTAAGTAACATCTACTAAATGATAAGATAACATCTAAAATCTAACTAAATGAATTTTAAAACAGCAAATAACATGACCCCAATTTCTAAACTATCACCTGAAAGCAAAATAGGTAAAGAAAAAAAGTTTATTTTCGAGATTAGAGAAAAAAAAATTTGTGATTGCATTGAATGGGGTCAAATTCCGTTCTTTAAGCCAAAATTTAAGTGATATTTCTAAGATTTGAGTTTGGAATGATTGCTTGAAAAAGTCAATTGCTAGAGAACGACACTTAGACGAGATTACAAACTTTGGTTTGACGGGTGCTTTGATTGTAACTGTAGATAGTTGTTGAATCTTGTCTTTATCAATGTGTCTACTCTTTAGATTCAAAGTTGACAGGAAAAATCGTTTTTTTTCTTCGCTTTACTTCTGTCGGCATCGCATCTAAGCTTAAGGCTTTATTAAGTGGTTTCTAGCTTCGACTTATTGTACGGATAACAGTGCAGGCATAATCGATCGCTATGCAGAAATCACATGAAAAAATTATAATTGAACGAGTTTACTAATTTTTAAGAGATAAGTATACTGGAAGTCCTAAACTTATCACGAAAGTGCAACTGATTCCTAAAACTCTCAAAAAGTGCAATCAAGTCATAAAATTTATCACGAAAATACAATCGAGTCCTAAAACTTGTCAAATTAGTCTAATTAAGTCCTTTATTTGATTGCACTTTTTGAGAGTTTAGGATTTGATTCTACTTTCGTGACGAGTTTTAAGACTTTCAGCGAACCTATTCCAATTTTTAGCATGTGCTTGATATAGTTTATTAGATTAGAGTTGCCCTAATAATCCGTGCCAACTTTACCTCGAGTCCCCCTGAAGATTAGTCACTTCTTGGGAACTTTAGCTGTACATAGGAAGCTCCTTCATTCCAAAACTCCAAATGTTGATTGATGCCGCACCGCCATTTCAATTGCTGGCTCTGACATGTTCTCCAGTCAATTCGATGGTTCACATGTTCTCCTTTATACGATACCTTTCTTGCACAACCAATTGCTAAATCTTTTTCCTTACTTGAAATGGTAATTAGGGCAGTGATGACTCATACTTTGTATCAGACGATAGTCTGATTTCTTCGGAAAAATCAATAATACATGAGGTACTTGATCGACATATTACATGGAAAGAGAAGTCAAACTTTCTTCATCAGGTATTATTCACTCCTTGTGTTGGATAATTCTACACCAATTGCATCCTTGTTTATGCTAATTACCTCGATGACTCGCCGACTCTTGTCGATAACATCCTTTCTCTCTTCTCCCTTTCTTTTGCTTTAAGGCAGATCGTTTCGACGCTAGACCGGATAGCCAGCTTTTCCGATTTCTTGTCGATGTGGCTGCATCCTTCGAGAAGCTCCTGGGTGGGGGGATGTGGAACCCACCCGACGAGCTTCTTTCGGATGTGACGCTTCACTTTGGTTTCAAATATTAGTCTCGGGCCATCGTGATTAGGCTGCGCGATCAACAAGCACGGGTCTGTAGCGCAAACATTTCGCTTTCCTCTTGACAAAGAATAAGATGAACAACGCACCAGCACCGTGCGCATCTACATTGATCCTTTCCGTGAGGGAGACTTGATTAGCATTCAGCAATAAACATACGGTCGATACGAGTAAGATCAATCACAACTAAACAACACCAAATCCAATGCGAAGGAAAAATGCCAGTAAGAATTTATCTTATAGGAAAGTCACAAAGATGAATGTCAAAAAGAAGAAAAAAGAAAAGTAATTGACACTGTAGATGCCCGATAGCTATAGTATTTCTCACTTAATAGCTGATGAGGCAATGACAACTATGCTTTCTCTCTCTCTCTGTTCAGATTACATAGCCCTGACTCAAGCCCAATTTTAAGCCAAAGAACTAAATCTACAACAAATTCATGCAAAAATCTTAGGCATCACCTTTTTTATTCTCTTCATACAAAGAACAGGGTTAAATAGGCAAAAAAGGAAAAAATCTTTGGTAAAAGCTGTCGATGTTGTGGAGGACTCCGAAAATTTCAGACATCGTCAACTTTTGGGCTTGGAGGTGTTCCGGTGATCCACGTCCACATTCCGCTGGAGTTCTGCCTCTGCTTTGCCATTAGCACAGCTTGTTCGGAAGCAGCCTTTTGTCGCTGGAGGAGTTCAAGCTCCTTTTGCAACGTCTCCATCATTTGCAGCTTCTGCCTTAGTTCTGCCACATCGACCTGCCAGAACATATCGAGCATTACGTAAGTGAAAAAGAGAGTAGCCTTATGAATTTCGATTGTTAATCAAAAGCCTATTTCACACGCAGCAGTCCATGACTCTGATCCGGTTAAGTGCCTGTGTCAGTGTCAATGTGGAGTTTAGCCTGCAAGGTGATTGATTATATAAAGATCTCCCCTGGTTAAAGGCCTAAACCAAATCCTATTCCACGCCCATACTGCAATGCCTGTTCTGCATTTGGGTCGATATATATTTATAGTGGAGCATGATTAACACAAGTTGGGGATTTCTTGGGAACCATTGCGATGAACAAGGCAAGGTGCGACCGCATTCAGAGATCATAAAAAATGTACAGTAGAGGCATCAAATCACTTCTCAGAACTTTGCTGTTACTTCTAGAGACAAGAAGAACTAATCCAAGTGCAGAACAAGGGAAGTGGAGTTTCTAAGAACCAGCAAGTACCTCAAGTTTGAAACACCTTGACTGCTCTGCGGCAAGCTGACCCCGCACAGACTGAAGCTCCTGCATGTGCAGTTAAATATGTTAAAGCCTTGTAGCCCTTCAATTTTCAAGGCAGAGAAGATTATTAAACATTAAACCTGAGGACTCTTGTAGATGTTCCAGTTGGTAAACAGAGCCTGTGATATCTCTGCCGTGATCATTTCGAGACTTTGAGTCCATTTAAGTGAAGAATTTCCTTGTTATGCTATCCATACAAGACATTCCACTAATACGATCAATATTTTAGAAAACACTATAAACAGCCTTTCTTCAATGGCCTAGTCTACCAATACATGATGGACAAAGAATTGTCCACTTTTAGCCCTGAGACTGGAAAACAAATTCCTACAATGCTAATGTTTCACGGAAAGAACGTTCTATCTTAATTATAAATTAAACAAAGTGCTCCAACAAAGGGATTATATGTTACAAAGTTGTCCAATAAAGATTACAGTCAAGACATACAAAAACAAGACATACCTTGTACAGATCGGTGTTGCGAGTCTCGGCTTCTGAGATTTCTTGCTTTAATTGAAGAGACAACAACGTCTCCTTGCTGAGTGAAGATTCTAATTCTTCTTTCTCTGCCTTGAGGGTTGCCAAAAGATGTTCTGCAGTTCCCTCATTTCTTGATTTCTGTCCAGGATATAAATGAGTAACACGAAGAAATACAAAAGGCAGAATACATTGCTTAAGAAACAAACGCAACAAACTTGGAAATCCAAAGGAAGAATAGTGCACATGGTAGGGCTTCTCAATGGATCAGAAGGCAGTGGACCTCTACGTAGTTTAAGATACAAATTCCTAGTGCTGAATTATTTCAAATCAAAAGGATATCATACACGTACAAGAATTTATCAAGGATACAGATCCCGTGCACAATCAATAACTTAAAACACAAACAACTAGACAAACTTGGAAATTAAAGGGCCAAAACAATGCACATATAGGACAACTGAATGCTTCAGAATGCAGTCAACCTCTAATGCCTTGGATGAGTCACTTCAAATAACAAGGATTTCCTACATGTATAAGAGCTTATCAAGCATTTGAATCAAATAGGATCGACATCACCCATATGTAAAACTAATAGACAGATTACTACCATACGGTGTCACATGCTCAGTTTACAATTTATTCCTGCTAGCTTATATAATACCAACAAAGACGAGATAAAAAGATGAAATTTCACATAAAAGAGATAGCCAGCGTCAATTACCCTGGGATCTTTCTCTATATTGTCCAAAACTTCTCTTTTTCCATCTTGGACCGCTTCAACCTCTGACTCCAAGTCTCTGGTAGCATTTGTCGCATTGTGCACAGCAGAAACACTATCAGGCAAAGGACTTTCGATTGCTTTTGCTGGTAGTGTCGATTTGTGGCTTGGTTTAAGAACATTAATCTGAAAAACTAATTGCATTAGAATGAAAGAGGAAAATCCACATCAAACACATAAAACCCATAAAATATAACAAACCTCATTGTTGTAACGCCCATTATATCCTCCAAAAGATACGATGACATCTTCACCATTATAGGAGCTTACAACCAAACTCAAACCCTGCCATCAAAGAGTCAGACAATGATTTCATGATTGAAGTGCTAAAAACTTAAAAGTATGTATATCCCAAGAATTCCAGAAGAAAAAAGTACACTTGTGGTCTTCAGTAAGCAAACATATGACCACACAGATGAGGAAAAAATGTCGTTAGAGTGAAATGTACCTCACTAGCAACTGGAATGCGCCCTTCGACAGTGGTCACAACAGACCAAACTAATGTAGACATGTTCAGGACAACGGTTTCTGATACCCCTGCAAGAAGTTTAAAGAAAGAGATAAAATTCCAGACAAGAATGAAGCATACAAACGCAAATAATACCAGCATTGGGAATGCTCTCAAACAAGCAAATATAATTTATAATGCAACAAATTTGGTAAAACGAATTAATACTCATGTCCTTAGACTAGAAAGTTTGTTAATGTACTGTTTTCTGCGGCAAATTAGTTACTTCATGCAGGGTCTGTCATCAATCTTGCTTCACAAAAATGAATGGTTCTTGTGTCACCTGAAGGCCTCCATGTAACAATCCATATGCACTCTGACCTAAAGCACAAGTGCATCTTCAATGAAATTGTTGTACGATATGATTGGTCACCTAATTTTCTTCATCCAAACATTGTCCACCGTGGAAGAGCACTTTCTAGATTTTCCTAATCTTGAACTGACAATTCCTAATCTCAATCGCAATCATCACTCACGCCTATTCTCTTTTTCTTCAAATCGTGAAAAAAGGAAGTCTGCGGCACTATTTTACTTGAAACATCAGTACCAGAAGTTTTGTAATCAACAAAAGTGTTGCAGATTCTTACCGCTCTTATTGTCACCACCACCAACTATAAACCAATTCTCTCCAATAGTTACACCTGCATGTCCAGCCCTTGGAGTAGGTATATCACCTTGCTGTGTGGGTTTTGACCATTCCATCTAGTAAAACCCCAACGCTTAACATTAGAAGACATATTCTTATATGAAACAAGATGCTGTTTAGACTGAAAGAAGTAATCTTACATTTTGCAAATCAAGGACATGTAGATCATTAAAACAAGTAGCGTGTGAACCCCCACCGAAAATGAGGAGATAACGCTCTGCATGTACCGCAGCAGTATGATCAGACCTTGGAGAAGGAGGAACACCCCTGTGTCCATCATATTCAGTCAAAATTTATGTAAACTTAAAAGCTGCTTTTGAAGCTAAATGCTACATGAATATCAGTAAGTTTCGATGTTTCCATTAACAATATGACTACACTAATCTAGTCAAGAAATAAGAACTGTTTGCAAGTAAGTTTATACAATTGTATGCAAAGCTGGTTCATGAAGAGAATCACTGTATCGATTTACATGACCTTCAGAATATAAGCAACATATGCAAAGAGGCCCAGTAGGAGTAGCGGAAAAATTAATTCAAATGTCTGTTGAGGTACGAAAGATAAAATCTCATTGCTCCCACAGACACACACAAGAGTAAAGTTTCTCATTATATCAGCTGAATAAAAAAATCAACTTACGCAGCATCAAATTCATCCCAAGTCATTGTTTCAAGGTCAAGTATATGAAGATCATTCAATAGAGATCTTTTTGCATCTTGCCCGCCAAATATCACTAAGCTAGTGCTAACCAGAATTACTGATTGACCTCCCCGGGACACCTGAAAATGATTGTTTCGGATGTGAGACAATACAGCAATATGAACAAAAAGGCATGAAACATAACAAAATAGACAGAGAAATAACCTTTAAATTGTCACTCGACACTAGAGGAAAAAGCAAAAAAGATACTTGTTGCATAATGCTTTTGCGCATGAGATGAGACAGTGATGAAAAGGGGATATTCATACCGGTGGTTTCCCATAAGTCTTCAAGATTGACCAAGTATTAGTTTGTAGATCAAATGCTCTCACTGTCAACCAGAGAGTAGGTAATTTTATTAAAAAAAGAGAGTAAGAACTGAAAAAAGCTAACTGCAAGATTACATCGGAAAGTGAAACCAGGTATATTACTAGTCCCAGCATGATATGGTAGGGAAGGCCTCTATGGAATATATAGAGTCAGAACAAGATATGTCCATTTGGTTATGCTCTCCACAATATGCTCTAATGCTTAGGTTAAATGGGTCATGCTAAAGTAAAAATTCTTCTTGCAGATGCTTTGAGACGTCATCTAATTAAGTAAGAAACATATATTCTGAAAGTACGAGTCTTGTTTCTATAATGGAACATTGGGAACAATGATTCTAGGGATCCAAATTGCTAGAGTACCACAAAACCCGATTTTGTGTTCCAAATCACACAATGCTGAGGGACTAGTGTACTACAGAGTCTGAGAGATATATACTTCTAACCAATTTACCAAAATGAATTAACTTTGATACTCGAAGACAACTGTATATGAATGTAAAATATCCCATAGTGTCTTTTGGCCAGTATATATATCTCAAAGTCGTGCTAGGCTGGTACTATCCTTTATAACCATAAACAAGATACGTACAAGTCTAGACTCTAATAGGCACGATGCTCCATTCAAGATTCACATGAGAGTGATAGTAGCAGTCAGGAAACCACGACAAGTTCCAGTTTAACAGAATTTCAATAATTTCATCCTTCCCCCCACTCTTTAGAATTTCTTTCACGATTTTATTAATGAATAAATCTAGATGCTTGTACCTTGTATGGTCTCAGAAGGATCTTTTGTGTGTCCAGCAACTGAAATAAGCTTATTTTCCCAAGGTATCTACAAGGACAAGGAACAAAAAGTCATCATCCAAAAAGAATCTACAAGGGCCACAAATATTGGTCCGCCCAGATTTAAAAAGGAGTAACGTTTTTTGGTCCAAGACATTTAAAGACTTCAAAATTTTCTTATTCTCCATTGAGAGTGGATATTGCTATTTACCCACCAGGGAATGACCAGCACATGGAGCTAAAGGTCTGGAAGGTTGTGACTCTGCTGAATCAACCTCGAACCCTGCCTCTACTCTTGACCAAGCCCAGCTCCTCAAATCCAGAACCTGCATTCATTGCGTCATAGGAAACAAGATGTAAGGGAAGCTGTGGCTGTACACATCCAGGGTATTACATTCACGCCAGCTGGTTAGCTTGATAAGATAAAAGGAATCAGTAATACTGAAATATTCTGGATGTACACTGAGAAGCTTGAATGGGCAAAGCATGTATTGTTAGTAATCAACAGATACCGCTAGTCCCATCCATTGACTATTAAGATGACCACTAAACGTTTTAGCAAAAAATAGATTACCAGTAAATGAATAGAAAAAATCTATTTTTTAAGTGCACATTATTTTCTTACATGAAGATCATTTAGGTATCGTCCATTATGGTTTCCACCATATACGTACATCTTGTCTTGAATGATTGCTGCTCCATGCTGCAGATTGCATAACCATCAGGTTCAGTAGAATTTATTTGTCCAGAAGAGATCACCATGTTTCAGAGAGAGAGAGAGAGAGATGTTAACACCTCATAGCGTGCTCTTGGACGTTGACCGGATGTCAGAGGTACAATCCATTGATCGTAGACAGCAACTGATCCTAGACCATCAGAAGCAGCGTCTTTGTCCTGAGTTTCACTCAGGATTCCATTTTCAGTAGATGTAATTTTTGGCTCAGTAGTATAGACACCATTCTCAACCACCGGGTCAACTTTTTCAGTATGCTGTAAGGGATACACAACAAAACAAATCATGGGCCAATGCAGAGTCATTGGTTTGAAAGCAACAAATTAAAAAAGCTAGCCATGTCCATATGCCAATACAGGGATCTGATCCTGCTATCTCGAGTGGAGATTGTAAATTTGATTGCTAATAGGATCAGGCCATATGAGGTGGTCAACTGATGTAGAGTTTAATGTTGGCAATGACGTAAAAGAGAGACAATTGTGATGTAAGTGGTGGAGCAAGTGGTTATGCTGAAGCGTCAAATATATGCCTCAGATACTCTGCTGAAAGTTGTAAAATATAAGGCATAGTGGTGGCAATACCATGGCCTTTCTAGCACAACATCACTGATCTAGCCGCATAGACACCCAAATGCCGAACTATCTGGCTGTCTATATCCCATATTAACGATACTTCAGTTAAAAGATGGTAGAAATAGAAGCTGTATGGGACACTATATATATGAGTTCTACATCACTAATAACTGTCTCCGTGCTTGAAAAACCAGCCTATTCTTTCTGTTTAAAGAAAAAAACTCCTTCAACTTTGCTCGTCCACATTATGCAACATGTAAGTGAGAAGCTTATGGATCATGGAAGGTTCACTATGTCGGGGTATTATAATGCGAAATTCAGAAAAGAAGGGTATACTGACATTCATTTCCACGTTAACAACAGGCTCTGAAACAGGTTCAGAAACATAATTAGATGCTCTCGAGTACCAACCAGGATCTTCCTCCTACAATAACAGCAAATCAACAAACGTTGGCTGTCAATTCTAAAAAACACCTTACACGTTCAACATTAAAGACAACTATTACTTACTAACCTCCAATATTTTCACAAATAGTCGCATTGCCTCTGTAGACGCCATATTTCCTAGGCCATTCCAACTGCATAAACATATTGCACTCATCAGAAACCATATTTTAACTGAAAATAAGTCTACACTCTGCAATCATTTATACATTAGAGCTATCAATTATCACAAGTAGTCCTTGTCCATATCCTTCCCCACAAAATTGAAAGTGAAATTCTGTTCTAAACATATAGAACAAAAATCTGGTCTGAACAACAACATGATATCATATATGAAATCTTATAATACGTGGGATAACATAATTAAAGCATTTGAAGTTGTTTCCTTTATGATACACAGGAAAAGAGGAATAACATGAATGCACATAAATATGGATCCAAATCAATTACTTTCGGTTACAGCTCGAAAGCTTTCAAGTTTGAGAAGCTTTCCAGCACATATGCATTGCAAACCAAAGCAAAAAAGTAAATAGAACTTTCTGGTAATATCCTTTACTACATGCACACTATATTCGACTCAACCACAAATATCACTCTCAAGACATGAACTTAACCACTGTTTGATTCAACTCATCAAATTGAGAGGAATCAGTATCTCATATAATGAGGACCATGGCAATAATAAGTCCAAACAAGTTGAAGTGATGAATCTGAAAAAAAAAAAAGTAAATCAGATGAATTTGCATTAATACACGTTACAGCTCTTGCTGTTACAGAAATAATCATATGGAATGAGGGGAGTGATCATGCATGTATGTGTGTCTAAGAGAGATAGAGGGGCTGGGGTTGCAGCATAATACAAACCTAGTCCATTTACTTTGCTCGACAGGGCTCCACCCTCTGGGTTTCGGTACAGTACAAGGTCCAATAGTTGCCTGTAACAGATGCATAATGAACAAAGTGTCACCTTGACAAGTTAATTCTGGGCAAAGCGTTATCAGGATGTACTGGCAGCAAAAAAAAAATTCTAGAATATACAAGAAAGTACAAACTTGTGGTAAATGAAACAAATTCTAATTGGACAATTACATTAAAGAGACTGTCACCATTTCCGCTTCGCTCACCCGAGGTACCAGAGGCTTAACAACAACTACAAGGCACTTCCTCTTTCAGAATTCAAAACTTGGACAAATGAAGGAAATATAAAGGCCAATTATTTCCAATTTAAGCCCCTGTGCTGCCGATATCAGGCCAATCCTCACTATTTTTTTTATCTTGATTTCAGGACAGATCGATCTTGACGGCATACGCCTCACCACAAGCTAAGCACAATCAATCACGAACCTACCAGCCCACCTGGCTACAGTTCACTTCCCAGTGAGGCCGTTACACCATTACAACAGGTGGATCAAAGGCTTTCGCATAAGCGTAGGCTTAGAAGTTCGAACCAAATGATCGGGAACACGTCACAACACACAATACAGATTCGCTGACTCAACCGCTGCATTAGTTAGTTAACAATCAGCTAAACAGATGCGCAGAGATCAACTCGAACACCGAACCATGCAAGAACCAAATCATCACAAATCGGAACACCTAGTCTCACAATCAGCAACGGCATCCCGCACCAACCGGCGAAGCCGCGGCACGATCTCAATTCAAACGGAAAATCTCACGAAGTCGAAACGCGACGCGCTCGTGCACACGGCATTGGATCCGGGGGATCGCGATCGAGACGAGACACGGAGGCGTGCGAATCCGACGCATCGGCCGGGGGGCCGAATCGCCGGAATCCGCCACCGAAGCGCATCGGATCCCGCCCCTCCCCTCTCGGGAAGAACAACGAACAAGCATCCATCGAGGGCGGGGAGGCGGGCGAGCACGTACCTGCTGGTACAAGGCGTAGAGGAGGAGGGCGGAGTCGTTGGAGAACTTGGAGGCGACGCCCTTGGCGGCGGCGCGGGGAGATCCGTCGAAGCCGGCGTAGGAGGCGGCGGCGTAGAAGCGCTCCGGGTACGCGAGCCCCGAGCTCGCTCGAGCCATTGCCATGGCGCGCCTTCCGCTCTCGCTGGCTCGGATCGGAGCTGATCGGCGGGGTCGAAGACACAGAGAAAGAGAGAGAGAGATTTTCGAAAGCTTCTGAAGCTCCTCGGTGCGCGATGGAGGAATCGGAAATCTTGCGAAGCTGTTTATTATTACGGGAAAATGAAGGGCGTTTTTTTTTTTTTTTACTTTTCATTATCATTTGGGAAAAAATGCAAAAGGGCTAAAAGCGAAAAAAAAACGAAAATGAAAAATGAAAAAGCTTAGTGATGATGAAATTGGTACGAGGTTGTCTTCGAGAGACGTGCACGGTGCGCCCGTTACTATAAGTTAGAGTAGAATAAATTGACCTCGATTTTTATTTTTGATGCGATCGCATCTCGATGAAATGATACTCATTTCGGCAATTATTGCGAGAATTTCATCTTTGATTTAATTCGATAAAGTTATACGAAGGTGCTTTTTAATATATTTTATAGAGTTAATATCGCGAAAAATCACACACTCATACATTATGTGATCAGTTTATCCAAAACTAATTTTTTTGACTATTAAAAATTACAAACCGGTACATCTGTGACAATTTTACCCTCTGTTAATTTTCGTTAAATTTTACCGTCAAATTTCCGACTTTGATGACACACCAGTTTGGGGTTTTACCTTCCGTCTATCACAAGTGTACCATTTTGCGATTTTTCGTGACATTAATCCAATTTAACAGAGGGTAAATTTGTTACAAATGTACCAGTTTGGGGTTTTTTGTGGTCAAAATATTAATTTATGATAAATCTATCATGAGTATACCGGTTTGGAATTTTTTATGGTCAAAAAATTAATTTTGAGTAAATTTATCACATATATATCAGTTTTTGATTTTTCACGGCATTAATCATTATTAATTTGCGATCAGTTAATTTCTGTTTTTTTATGTGTTATTTTGCTCAATAACGTGAATTGCCACTTTCGGTTAAACCGTAGCGATTAGTGTTTGTCGGTCCAACTTGGCCATCCGCGCGATGCGTTGACTCTTTTGACGTTCGAGGATCGAGAGCAACTCGTTGTGCTTGCAAGTGACTCAAGCCCACGATCAAGAAACCACAACCTTTTCCTTTTTAAAATAAAATGATATGCATAAATATATAATATATATCTTATAATAACTTTTTATCATAAATATACATAAGTTATGTCATTCACCGATACCACATTCCACCCAAAATATAAAAGTGCACGATTTTTCAATGCGGAAAATGACTTGACTCAAACATGAAGTTGAACTTTGCCCTTCTTTTAACAACCTATGTATTTTGATCGCGTCGCTGATATTTTTGATTAACCAAAATCTCCGGTCTTTCTTGATCAAGTGAATTATATAGTTTGAAAGTGCTTGAAGTGGTCTCGAGATCATTCTCTTCACCGATTCTTAAATTTGATAATCAGGCTTCTCAAAGCATAATTTGACATCGACTCTCAAATAAACTCGATCTACTTAGGCTGCGCATGGCAACTTGCCAAATAGTATTTGATTCTGTTCTTTTGTTCCCAGAATTTGTGCCCAGAATCAGTTTTGGAGCAGAATCAAGAATAAAAAAAAAGTAGCTTCTTGATTCTGGGAACAAAAATGAGAATCAGTTTTTTTTTTCTTCTTCTTTTTGTTGGTTTTTAATATAGCTTCTAATGTCTGGCGCGAGGGCCACCCTCGCCGTATTTGGCGAGATTAAAATATTTTAATAAAAAAATATTATTAATAAAAAAAATTTACCGGCCATGGCCAGCGACCAGGCCATGGCGAAAAAAATAAAAAAAATATTATTAATAAAAAAAAAATTTACCGGCCATGACCAGCGACCAGGCCATGGCGAAAAAAATAAAAAAAATATTATTAAAAAAAATATTTTTTATTAAAATATTATTAATAAAAAAATATTTTACCGGCCATGGCCAGCGACCAGACCAAGGTAAAAAAATAAAAAAAAAATAATTTCAATAAATTTTTTTATTAAAATATTATTAATAAAAAAATATTTATAAAAAAAATATTTTACCGGCCATGGCTAGCGACCAGGCCATGGCGAAAAAAAAAGAAAAAATATTTTCAATAAAAATATTTTTAATAAAAAAATTATTTATAAAAAAAATTTTTACAGGCCATGGCCAAAAAAAATAAAAAAATTATTTTTAATAAAAGCATTATTAATTAAAAAATATTTTACCGGCCATGGCCAAGAAGGAGGAGAAGAAAAAAAGAAAAGAAAGAAATATTAAAATATTTAAAATATTATTAATAAACAGAAATTTTATGCCGTTACCAAACGCATTTGTTCTTTTACTATTTCGAATAGAAATTTTGGACCGTTACCAAACGCTTTCAAATGCTCGAATCGTTCCCACATAAAAAAAAAATCATTTATGATCGAACTGTCTGAGGCACGGAATGGTTGCCATGCGCAGCCTTAGAAGCGTGGTTTGGATTATGGTCTTTTTTTGTTATATGTTTTAGATTAAACTCCGAGGGTTTTCTAAGTTTTTCTCCTTTTATCTTTCATATTTTGGTGTCATTTCTTTGTCGAGTAACACCCTTCCGTATTAATAACATTCCTACCACTTTGGAAAACTTGATATCATGACTATCATTGTAAAATCGTTGTCTAAAACGAAGTAAATTTCGCACTCGTAGTAATTAATTCGATAGACTTACTGATTTTATTAATTAAAAGGAAGCAAAAATCTCGCTTTTTGGGCAATTGTTTCCCTTTATTGCCCCTAAAATACCATTATTTCATGTTCTAGGTTTATAATTTTTATGGTAAAGAATGTAAATTTTTTGAAAAATAAAAAAAAATCTGATAATTAACATATGTATGTATAAGAATGCTCAAATTCGGTAAAAAAAAAAAAAACCAAATCCATAGACTCTTTTGGCAATTTCGTCTGTAAATGCAATGTGTACACAATAAGGGCATGCATCAATTTTAGGGTTCATTGTCTACGTCATAGGTGTATCCATTTAATGGCTCCGCTTCAAATCGTTAATCCATAAGACTAAGGCCTAATTTATTTCTATAAGAATGTTTTTCTTGAAAATATTTTCCAAAATTTCCCGTATTTGGAAGCGAAAAATCGATCGATCAAGGAAAATGTTTTTGGTAAAAAAAAAACCCTTATAAGGGGAAAATGACTTTTCCTTTTCGAGAGAAAGAACTCATTTTTCTCGAACTTTCTCACACAACTTAGGGCTCTGTCGTCCTTGTCCCTCGTCTCCTCTTTATCTTCGAGCTCGTCTCTCTCCGCCTCCAGAGCTGTTCCCGTCCTTTGCCGCCTAGCGCTTCTCTTCAGGATAGCAGAGCAGAGAGGGTGACTATCGCAAGGCAAATATCGTCTCCCCCAACGTTTCCTTCGGCGATAAGCGTGAGTGGCTCCTCAATCCCGCCTTCGTCGCGCTCATTTGATCCTGGCATCCAAGGTATCTCTTTGCCACTCTAGATTATGATCGAATATGTCTCTCTTTCTTTATCATCGACTATGTGGAGGTATAGATTTGCCCATCGAAATGCTCAACTTCCTTGTACAATGATGCAAAATTAGATGGTGATTTTGTTTTGAATGAATATGAGATTCATGGCCTATAAGTTAATTATAATGAGAATAGAGAAACGATTCAATGGTAGATATTGATTGAGTGGAGGTGATTTGGAGCATTCATAAATTTAGAGGTTCAGATGTGCCTGAATATTGTCTGCCAATGTAGTTTTCTTGGCTCACGGAAGAAAGAATCTTGGTGGGTTGAGTTTGACGCAACAAATGAGAATTATTGAGAGAAAATGTGATGGATTTATGATATGGAAGTTGTGAATCTTTCTAGCAATGTATCCACGGTGAAGATTTATTAAGGTACCGGCGATGGTGAGTGCAGTAGCACCGATTGAAGAAGAGGATCCTTCGTCACCTATAGTCATATTTTAATATGGTTTAATATCATGAAAAACCCAAAATTGATATATCCGTGACAAATTTACCCAAAAAAAAAAAACGGTACATTCGTGACAAATTTACCCTCCGTTAGTTTTTGATAAATTAGATTAATACAATGAAAAACTTTCCAACTGGTATATCCGTAACAAATGGAGGTAAAATCCCAAACAGGTACACCTGTAAATTGTCAAGTGTCATTCAACTTAATAATTCGACGGTAAAATGTAACGAAAGCTATTGTAGGGTACATTTGTTACATATGTACCGATTTGAAGTTTTTGGTGGTCAAAAAATTAATTTAGAATAAATTTATCGCATATGTATCAGTTTTGTGGTTTTTCGTAATATTAACCCTTTTTAATATTGGTGTCAACGAAGAAAATCGAGATGGTTTATTCACGGAGAGCAAAAGGTCCTCCAAGGGTCCCCATAAATTAAATTTTAATTGACACAAGATATCTAAAGTCCCATGAAATATATAAAACTTAAAAACTCAAAACACTTCCTTTATTTTTTCTTCTAATCAAATTTTTTGAATGGAAAGTTAGAAAAAAGAAGAAGAAAAGATGTGACCCTCATGTGATATTTTTTAAAAGACAATTCACTTATTTTCCTGCGAAATTCATCCAAATTACATAACTCAATCTCCTCCGCCGCCGTCCGCCGGCGCTTCGGCAGGCGGAGAGCCGCCGGGGTCACGCCGGCCGGAGAGTTTCCGGTCAACTCAGCTTCCACAGCGACGGTGTCCGTCTGCGCGCGATGCACAGAACAGCAGACGCGGGGAAAAATTAAAAAAAAAAAACACGGAATCTAAATTCAAAAAAAGAAATAAGAAAAAAAAATTTACACACCTGGAGGCTGGAGCTAGTTTTGCAGAGCCGAAGGCACGAGCGAGAGCTGCGAAGCTCTGCGAAGAAGACGACTTTCTCACTCTCTCTCTCTCTATCTCTAGAGTTTTCGTCTCGTCTCGTCTCGAGCATCCCTCCATCGCTGGCCGAACCGAAGCTCGATCGATCGGAGTAGCAGCAGCACACTCGCGCCTCGCGCTGGGTCGAGCTGTGTCTCGCCCAGTATAGTAGGTCAG